AGTGCCATCTTTTCACAGGGATGCAGCCCTCGCCACGGCTGTCTCCCAGAAGCATTGCAGAGATGGAGCAGAAGCTCAGAGGGCAGGAACAGGACAGCAGACAAGACTCTCTTCCTTGCAGCTGCAATGACTTGAAAGGACTTCAAATTTCATTTCCTACTCTGGGAATGATAAATTAGTTCAGCCCCATCTCGAGCTAATTCTCATATGGAGAGACAAAATGGCATCTGTCCCTAAATGCAGGAAGGTCACTTTACAGCTACGCCACAAGACTGCATAAATAAATTCTTGGAGGCAACCAGTTTTTTTAAGTTTAGAACTGGGCCAGCAGCATCTGCAGTCCTGCCAGTTTGGTGCTGCCAAGTATCAGTACTAGGCCTAAAGCTTCATAACAATACCAGGCTCCAGGACTTGACAGGCTTTGTCTGAACTACAACCTATTTTAGCTTAAACTTAGCTCTGATCTCCAAAGTTATTTGAGAAACTTTGCTGCACTAGCAACTTCCCCTGGGATCAGATAACTTTTGCCTAGTCTGTCATAGCTGCCATGTCAGATTGTCCTGGTTTTAGCTAGGATAGAGTTCATTTTTTGTTAGCAGTTGGTACAGTGCTGTGTTTTGGATTCAGTATGAAAATACAGAATCACATTTACATATGAGGCTGGAGGGAAGCAAACAAGCATCTGTGGGGTGCTTAGTTGCTAGGTGGGCTTAAACCATGGCACAGATACCTATTGTTTGCCCTGTAATTTCAGCCAGGCTTTGGTTACATTATTGTATAACTTGTTCTGACTTCAGTTTTGCTTCATTTTGGCCAAGTATGTGGCTCTAACCCAAAAATCACATTGTATATCAAGGAAAATATTAAGGAATTTAAGCAATCACAGCAATGACTAACACACCCCATGGATCATCTGGAGAGAACAGAGTGCAACCCATTAATAAATTCAGGGTTAAAATATATAGAAAACAACTCCAAAGCAACTGCAAGACCAGGAGGAACCAAACCCCAGAACCTTGCCCACGAAGGATCCAGGATGCTGACAGCTCACTCTCATGTCACAAGGGCAAAGGCAAGAGCTTTGCAGCAGAAGAAACAGATAGATAGCCACACCTGTTGATTTTATTGCATTTGTAACAGTCTCCAACAGAAACTAGGCAATTTAGATTACTACCTAATTGGAAAAGTAAGTGTTTTTCCCTTTTTGGATTATTAAAAGAAGCAGATTAACAACAACTCATTCTTTGTTGCCCAGCATATAATTAGATATGCAGTACAATCCTTAAAAAATAATTTGTAAGTAAATAATAATACATTAATCCGATGGGATTATAAAGATCTTTGCATGCAACAGGCCTTCAACTCTCTTCCAGACCCTAATATAAGTTACTTGTTTGGAGACATGCAAAATTTCACCCCACAGCAATGGCTGCAGTATCCTTCCTGATCTGCTCCTAACAGCATGCAGGCTCTGAATCCCTTTAATTTCTATTATTATTTTTGTCCAGCAGTCTGGAAGTCTTAAATCTCAGCTCTGAGCCACACACGAGCACGACAGCAATGTGACAGAGCAGGTGTACATCTCTCCAGGCTTGCAAACTGAGCTGCTGCCTGTCATGTCTATCTCATTTCAAGTGAACTTTTGACAGCGTTCATTTCTGGGTGAAGAGAAATCTGCTTTGTTTGGGGTCAAGGGGAGGAAGCCTGAGGAAGAGAACAGCTGCTCATTCCAGAAAACGCCTCTTGGAAATCCACCTGCTACAGGGAAAGAGGATCAGTTTGCTCAGGTGTACGTGGGGGGAAACACAAACCAAGGAGCACTTAACCCAGGGTCCAGACCTTCAGATGCTTTGGGAAAAGCTTCCAAAGAGGGGCAAAAAGAAGGCAGGGGTGCAAAAGTCCTGTCCCCTTAACAGAGCCCTTGCAAAGGATGAAAAAGGCTTTGCTTTTATTGTTATTGCTGATGGTTTTATTTTATTCCTTGGTATTATTTCAGTCTATCTTGTGTAATTCTCTGATTTTGTATAATAGGTTTAGTTTTAGGCAACAAATGGATTTACAGGCTTTGCTGTAGCTTAGGAGAGGGGATAGCTTTTGGGGGGCTTCTACACTGCTCCAGGTTGTGCCGTAAATTGTAAGCTATTTTCCGTTCAAGTCAAGGGTAACAGTAGAGAAAACACCCACTACACAAATCTATTATTATCTTAACTATTTCACATGGCTTAATTTTTCAGTGAGCTATGACTCAAAGCAGTCAGAGCAGAACTAGACAGTGCTGTGCCTGTGCATTTTGGATACAGCAAATGAACATTATCACTGAGGAAATGCAAGGGCTCATGACCTTTTCCCCTTTTATGATTTCTACAGCTTATCAACAAGATGACATTGTACCATGGCAGTATTCTGGAAGATTACTTTTCATCTTGCAGATCACTGAAGTATACACCCTTTGACTCTATACCTGTCATCATAGCCCAAGACACACAATATACTCCAAGAAATCAAATAGCTGAAGCAAAAAAAATAAACCGAAGACCCCTCAAAAAAATTTGCAAAACATCAAAACACTACCACCACCTCTTCACTTTATTGACCAGATTACTGATCTAAGATGTCTGTAATGCAGCTACCACTACAGATGAAGAGGCTGTGTAGGGGAACTCAAAAAGGGAATGAGATTTAGCATGGTCAGTCTGAAAAAGCAGTTCATATCATTACCAGCAATCATTACAGGAGTCATTCCAGATCATGAAAGAGGAACTCAAATGCCTGATTCCTGTAATGCATAATTTCTGAATGTTTTCTGCATGCAGTGAAAAGGGATTACTAAAAGGGAAAACTTAAAAAAAAAAAAAAAAAAAGCAGCTTAACTAGGCTGTTTTTATAAGGAAGGTGAGGTTGTGGCATGTGTTTAAACAGCATGCCACAGTTCTGAGATGGAAGCTGCATCCTGACCACTCAGAGATCAGAACAAGGAAAACCAGACTAAGTTCTTTGGCTCAGACCAAGGCTGTTCTCTCTCCCTTGCTCAAAGACAGCTATCACACCTTCACTAGGAACTGATCAGGTAATGTGGGTGTTGGGTAGATGTGTGATGGTCAAATTTACCACCACTGACTGCCACAACCACCACAGCAAACACCCTGTACTTTTAGTCTAGAGAGCAGCATAAAGGGTAGAAGTATTTCCAGACATAGTTCCTGCACCTCTGGCATTTGCTCATATGTAGTATAATATGACTTCCAAGATACTTGTGACATTTTCATTTATTGGGACTATGAGGCAGGACTTTCCAGCTACAGTGGCACTGAGAATCTTAAACAAAACTGCCACAGGCATATATAACTAAAAACTGCTTTAGCTGTTAATACAGCTTAATTTTAAAGATTTACAAAACATTTAGCATTTAACTTTCCTGAAAAAGATTAGAAAGCACCTTTCTGAATAGCTCTTTCATTCCACCCTAATTGGTCAACTCAGTCATTCTAATTTTCAAGTCAGTGAGGAGGAGTCTTCCTTGAAGAACAGTAGTACAGATAGACTTTGTCCCCAAAGGTGTTATAGAAGACAGGTTGTGCTCTATAGGTATGTTCAGCCAATTTTTATTTTTTTTTTTATTTTTCATCACCTTCTTTTCTGTAAGATTTTGCTCCAGTGTCTTAGCACATACACAAAGGATCAGTTGTAAAGCTCAAGAAGCCTAACGAATATTTTAAAAGCAGAGGCTCACAGCTTACATACAGGGGGTCATGTACATACAGACAGGCTTCCACTGGCCTTTAATTAAAATGAAATCCTTGGTAGAGTTCACCTTCCATTTAAGCATCAGAAAAATCAGGCAGCCAGATTTTCCAAAGCCTCGCTCTGAGCACAGTAACCATCACTGCTAATAGGAGCTCCTGAACCCTTCAGCACTTGTGAAACCTGGCAGCTTACTTCTAGAGCATACACTTGGGTTTCTCATATCAAAAGAACCCAACAGGCCTCAAAATCTTACTTCAAAGAATTCCATGTGTCACATTTCACTTAAGATTTTCCCGGCTAATAAAAGATGAAATTTTTCTGCTACAGCTCTGTACTGGATTTGCACAGCCAGGTCTTGGGGAGGGGGAGGCTGGTTACAGGGGTGGCTTCTGTGAGAAGCTGCTTGAAGCTTTCCCTATGTCTGACAGAGCCAATGCCAGCTGGCTCCAGGACACACCCATCACTAGCCAAGACTGAGCCCACCAGGGACTGCAGCAGAGCCTCTGGGATAGCATCTCCAAGAGAGGGGACAAAGCTGCTGCTTTGTGAGAGAAACAGCTCTGGGGACAAGGTCCATGAAGGAAGAGGAGCAGGAGGTGCCCCACATAGCAGAGCTGACTTATATTTCCCTGCAGCCCTTGGAGGTGAAGCAGCTGTGCCCCTGCAGCCTTGCTGTGGCTCTGTGCAGAGAGAAGCCCACACTGGAGCAGGTTTTGCTGGCAGGATGTGTGACCCCTTGGGAGGAACCCACGCTGGAGCAGGGGAAGAATGTGAGGGCTCCTCCCTCTGAGGAGGAAGGAGCAGTAGAAACAAGATGTGATGAACTGAACACAACTCCCATTCCCTGTGTCCCTGTACTGCTGCAGGGGAGGAGGTAGAGACAATTGGAAGTTCACTTCAATTCACTTCCAGGAAGAGGGGAGGTGGGAGAGAAAGTGTTTTGATGATTTCCCTTTATTTCTCATTACCCTACTCTGATTTGATTGGTAATAAATCCATTTTTCCCCAAGAAAAAGGAATAAAATGTCTGTCTAATGTAGCAGCTAAGCTCAGAAAAAGAAACCTTCATGTGTCACCAGAGTTCTTTGTTTTAGTTAACTCATAATGTAACCTGGGAATTTCAAAGACCTGAGGTGCAAGCAGGGAGAGACATCATCATCCTGTAAAAAAACCCACACCATTAGAAAAAGACAGACAAAATCCTTGCTATTTTATCTTCCCTTCCCACAGGCACATTTACACCATCTCTCACTCACCATGGGCAAACGGTGTTAAGAGCATTGTGAAGAACAGCAGCTGTGATGACCACATGACTGTGAAGGAGAGCTTGAAAGTATCCCAGCAAACAAGGTTTCAAATAAAAAGGTGAGTCCTCCTGCACTTGATTCCAGCACTTCAGCTGTTGTTGGCCTTCAATTCACATCCAAAAAGGAAGGAAAAAAACCCAATCAAAAATAGTAATAACAATAAAAAATATCCCACAGCCAGTATCCAGAGTCTGAGACCTACAAATGAGAAAGGAAAAAAAACTGCAGTTAGTAAAACAGTAAGATAGGTGTTTGCAATCAAGTCTTGCTGCGTTTCTTTGCTGCCAGCAGCTGTAAAGGCAAATGTGTCCTTCCCACTCCCTGGCCCTTCAGATGCGTGCACACTCCTACATAAAATAGGAATTAAAACTTATGCCTGTGCCGAGAACCAGTTACCAGTTGGTGGATAACCAATGCTCTGCTTCCTCTCTCAAAAGAGGGCCCCAGACAGCAGTTTTGAACAAAAAAGCTAAGACCTTTCCCTCCCTTTTGCATTTCTGTCATGCCTCCGACGTGGATGCTAAGGGCAAGATACCAGGCCAGGCAGTGGGATTAGTAACATAGCTTGGGAGTATTTCCACTGATGATATGCCAAAAAGCCTCTCTTTGTTTGAAGCAACCTGTATGGCTTTTAATCACTGAATCTGGACCAGGCTTTGAACCCAAACAGAGCCCAAAGTCACCCTTATCCTATAACCAACTACTTTCTAGTCACTGCCAGCTACTCACTGCTAGCTGAGCTCTGCAGTTATTTATTGTGGAATTAAAAATAATGGTCTTGTCCATCCCACACGCTTACAGGAAAGCGCGGGGAAATCTGAATCCGTGCTCGAATAGAAACATTCGCTCATTTAAGCGGAGAACGTATTCCAGCTTTCCATCATTTTAATCTCTCCAGAAGGGGCTAACTGGCCACGGTGACTAAAACCTGGCAGGAAAAAAACAACTATACAGAGTTAAACTGCGGCAGCAGTTAGAAACTTAGCTCCCCACTGGCTTTGAAATTATGAGGAAATATGAGGAATTGAAAAGTACTTTACATATCTGTTTTGAACTCCTTAGACTCTGCAGTCTTCACAGTACTGGTCTAATTAAAAATCTCTCCAAAAATCTCTGATCAACAGAAGTTATTCTTCTCTGAGCACAGAAGCTGTTTTTGCCAACTTTTGTTCTTACCCAAAACCAAGTCTGAGCCAAAAAGCTGTATGAAAAAACTGTGCTGCATGCCATTGTGATGTGGGTATATTTCTGAAAGTCTGGCATGACAAAGTGGCCTTTGTTTTGCTTCCTGTCTTTACTGATCAACTAAATAAAACCCCATATTGTTCAGAACCAAAGCCTATAAAGAAGCTGCATTTTTTTAATAAATATATCTTGCACTGCCAAGATTTTATTCTCTCACTTGACCCTCCTCCCCAGTCTATCCCTGCAATTTGTTCACTGAAATGTAGCATTTAGTTTCCATAGTTTTTTTTTCTCATCTCTATGTGAGGTTACTAAGAAATCCAAGGTCAATCTGCAGTCAAGTGGCTTCTTTACGGACATCCTTGAAATTAAAACTTTGCTTGAGCTGGGACTAATCAAAAAGGTCATTGATAATATTAAAAGTCTGGTTTTTAAATAGGGATGAGCCTCATGAATATTTTGAATTGTACGTTCTAAATAGTGATCAAGTTTTCCATTTATATTTTAGTAGGCTACCAGTACACATCAAACTGCAGCATTGCCATTATTTATGCATGCTTTTTTTATAGCATCCTCTGTTAAGTTTCAAAAGTGAGAAGCTTTTTGTGCTACAAAATTTGAAAAGGCATACAGAGATGGGTAGAAGCTATCCAAGCACAGGTACACTTCCCTGAAGCAAAAGCTCAGTCAGGCAGTAAAGGAGCAAAGGTTTGTTTTTGAATTTTATTTGTTTAAACTGAATCAGTTCTGAATAATCTAAGCCTGTTAGAAAGAGATAACATTATGGTGCAGTAAAAGGGTTTTGGGTATAACTGAAGGAGCCACAAATTAATTAGGCTCTCTATCCCAGAGAAGGGATAATTGTCACCAAAATACTTACACAGAGCCCTATAATTTTTTTTTTTTCTAGCTATACATTCCTGCATGATAGGATGCTAGGATTTTTATTTTTTTTTCCCTATCGCATGGGCTGAGGCAGAATGAGCAAATGAATGAGTATTCACACGCTCTCTGCAAAGTCCAAACACTAATTTTTGAGAACTAATGCCTTGGAACCACCACAGCCACAAATAAACATTTTATCCTCCTGGAAAGTACATTATTGAGTCACAAAGCTCCTGTGCAAAAGAGACAACAGGACTAGCTCATCATGATGCACCATTTACTCCAGTTGTAAATCTGACCAAATATTCTCTGCCCTACTGTCCTTCCTGCCGGAGGAGAACACGCCAGAGCCGTGGCCTGTCAAGTGGTGTCTGCACATCCTGGCTGGCACAACCTTGCCCTTAGAACTTGCTTCTGCAAAGCCTTCAACCCCTTCAGCTTAAGCTCACACACAAATATTACCCAATATACAATGCGTCTGGAGGCGTGCCAGCCGTGTTTAACAGCACAGGGCACCACTAGATCAACCAAATGCGTTGGAATTCTGCAAAATTCTGGGTGGGCTTGTATTTCGCGTAATCAAATAATCACAGTGTGTTTGTGAACTGGATATCTGCAGGGAAACAGCTACATAGGAAATGAGCAGAACAACCCTTTTTCTTAATGGTCACTCAACCCCCGCAAGCAGCATTGTAAGACACAGAAGGAGGCCAGCAAAACAAAATTCACTTCATGGTTGGATTACCTCCAGGTAAAGTACAGCCAAAGAGAGAAACTAGAGAAAACGGTTCACTGTCTGTGAACTATTTGGTGCAGAGTGTTACATTTATTGATGCAAGAAAGGGATACGCTATCACAGTGAAAAATTTAAGGGCTTGACTTAAGGGGTTTGGACTTCAACCACAAAGATGATGCAGCTTGCATTGATTTTAGAAAAAGTTCTTCTGCTCACCGACCTTTATATGCCCAAAGGGCTGCCCCTGACACCTTTACCGTCTGATCTGCTGCATCACCCAAACCAGAATTGCATGCTGGCAGTTCCCAAAAATCCAGCTCAAAGTGCTACTGACAGAATAGGAGAAAGCTAAATAAAGGAAACTAAAACTTCATAGCGAAGAGATGAGCAGTGAAGTATTCATCAAGGCGTTGTTCATAAAAGAGCATTATAGATACACTGACAAACTCAACATCCACCCAAGTCTGTTCTTCAGCAGCTGATGTCAAGCAGCACATGGAGCATTTTCTGAGCTCATCTGTCGACAGTCTACAGGGAGGGTGAAAAAGAAAAGGAAACCAGTTCATGTGGTGAGTGAACAGATAGGCTGAATTCAAAGCTGAATTCAGAGCAGCAAGCCAAACCTATCAGAACTCCATTTAATTACTGTCTTCTTCCAAACACAAGCATTTGCACTGGCACAAAGCTGTATACTACCTTTTTCACACGGCCAAAGCTGCTTCAGGTATCCAGCATTTTCTAGGAAACCAGGGGAGGGGAGACAGTGTCTCACAAAGGGGCCCATTACCAAGAGTCAGAAATACTGGGGTTTTCTTATCTAGTTTTACTTGCAGCAATTTCCTCCCCACCCCTGAAAATGTGCATAGCAAAACTAGCTTAAACAAATCAAAGATACAAAGGTTGCTTTATATTTCTTCATAGAAAAGACTCCAGCACTTAATCCCCTCCTTTGGCAAAAGTCACCGACTAATTAGGAAACAAGTGTAATGTCTCAAACAAATATTGATTAAATTCACTATTTACGAGGGAAAAAGTTTGGAAGTAATTAAACTCCTTGAAGCTGATGGTCCAAGCTGGAACCATGGGTGTAATTCCCCGTTCTCAGCATCTGCTACTTGAGATAACTTATTTCAGGCAACATTTTCAGAATTTTGCTAAAAGAGGGAAGAGAAATAACCCAGCAAGAAAAAATAAAACATGCAATCTCTGCAAAATTAAATTAACTGCAATTTAATGTTAGAAAATTTCCTTAAGTAAGAGAATGAGCAACATTTCCACTCCCATTATGAATGGCTGGATAAAATAATTTCTGCAATACATATGGCCGTAAGTTGTTTGCAAAAAACTTTTGTTTATTTTTTTGCAACATTACTAAACAGGAAAGGTTTCACTCCCCCGGTCTCTTTCCAACTTTATCCTACTTCAAATAATTTTCCCTTCCAGGTACTGAGGATATGGCTGCCTGGTCACTTTGTGGTGGCAGCAACACAACCTGCCACGCAAAAGGTCACGCAGGCATTACCAAGCTGCACACCTGGCATTTCCACATGCACTTTCACTCATAGCCACTCACTGAAGTCACTGCTGCATGGTCATGGAAGGACATATTTTTCTATCTGCATTTTTAGGAAGTTAGGAACATGTTTCTGAGACAAACAGAATTGTCTGTAAACTTTTATCTCTGTCTATGTTCAACCCAAGAGAAGGTTCATCCTATACCACAAATACTTGGGAAGCCAGAGTTCCGAGTTCAGAAAAAGACACTTTTGTTTCTCAAAATAATGAGAGTTGTCCATGGCTTTTAGCTCTTCAAGTTTTAAGTTTGGCAGATGTGAGGGAGCACTGTGAGAGAGCCAATGAGCTTTCCTAGAGTGACAGGACTCACCAGCTTATGGTTCAAACTGCTCACATCTACGTCCTCTTTCTGTACTGCAGACCCTGCTTCTGCTCTCACACCTCTGCTGAGGCTGTGAACTCTGAAGGGAACCCCTCAACCCTCTCACTCAGTATGTGCAAAACAACACAGTATTTCTAAGTCACTTCTTCCAAGAAAGATTTAAAATGAGCACTTGCACCTCCATTGCACTTAACTGCCATTCCTGTACATTAATATTTATTTCATCCATGTTGTTTGAAAATTCAAGACCATTCTGCTTGTTATTTCCTCCCTTATACCTGATGCAACGCTCTGGAAAGAAATTTTAAAAACCTTAAAAATAGGCAACAATGGCAAGGTCTAATAAGTTTATCCTGGATTGTCAGGTATCACTGCAGTGCTACTTAGGCTTCCCTGAGGGGAGCAGCCAGGGCAGCAAGGAGCCACTCTCAGCTCAAACCAGGCTCATCAACCACCTGTTTAGGCTATAATTCACAGTGACAAAGAGCTCTTCAG